CTATATGAATTTATTTAAGATAGGTAATCTCTCTGAGCCTCAGTTCTTCATTTGGGAATAAAGGTAATTAAAGTGTCATAGGTATGTTATAAGGACTAAATGAGATAAATAATAGAAGTCCTTACTATGTCACTGGAATAAATAATGCCTTTGCTAAATCACAACTATGATGAACGTCCTTCCCAAAGTTAGGAATTAATTCCAACTGACAGGAAAATAAAAAAATAAAGCACGTATTCATGTCTCTTATTAAGTACCACATAAATTGTAGAGCACTTTCATTTATATTATTTCAATTAATTCTCAAAACACTCTTGAAATTTCAACTTCATGTTAAACAGAAAACTGAAGCTTAAAGAAAATAAGTGACAACTAAATTCACAAATTCATTAAGTGACTCATTTGTATTTTGTATATGTCTTTCTAATGGCAAAACCCATATACGTTCTATGATAATAAATTGACCCTATAAAGTCACAAGTAAGAAATTAATAGTAAATTTCGATGCCATAATTTTATTAATAACTTATTTACTTTTCCTTTCTTGTTTAAATTATAGATGGTCAGTTAATGAACTGAGAGCATGAGGTTATAAGCTGACATTTGGCATAAACAGGTGTGAGTGTTACTATTTCTGAAAATATTATTAAATGTGGTTTGGTGGTCTCTCTTTTCCTTGGATTTATTTCTATACGCAGTAGAAATACATGTATGAACTATGAGACCTGAACCTGCTCATCTTTATTGAAATGAAGAAATACAAATTATTCAGATATCACCAGGGAAATAGTCATCTAGAATAATTATGAAGAATATTAAAAGACGATTCTAGTAAAACAATTCTTACAACCTCTCACTGGGGTCTCCCGTGGAGATTTTGTTTCATTCAGGCAGAGAGAAGGTCTCAAATGAATTCTTGTTCATTTGTCAGGAATGTTTGAGCAGTGCCAGATGTGTATTTTAGTGCAACTACGAAGTTGAGCTAGATGTTACCCATACCCTGAATTAAATTCTTTTCCTTTTCTCTAAATAATTAAGCTAAAAAATGAACAACTATTTTATTGAACACTTCAATAAAGTAAAAAGAAAGAGGATAACACGATCAACAGAGAAAACTGCTTTGGAAATACTCTGTCCATATTTTTCTAATGACTTTTAATGAGGCTTAACCGAAAAAGAGATAATTGAGTAAATATAGAAGATGAAAAAAAAGTAGACTTTCAAAGTTAATGTATTACTAAGGGAGATTTCCACACAACACAACAAAAACAAGTGAAATGAAGTAGAACCAGTCAAAACTCCTCTCTCAGTCTGTCAAAAGGACATTCTTTGAGCCTTCAAACCTAAAGGATTCTTTAAAATAGAGTCACTTCCTTACCTTGAGTATCAATGAAATTGCTATTATCTAGTTTCTCTAGAGGGTCATTGTTAATATTTGCTTGATGGTAGGGATTTTGGAAGGAGAAATATCAAGATGTGTTAATAATGAAGATGTTTTCTAGCCTTCTAATTTAACCAATGTTAAGTATTATTTTTAATTTTAATTGTGAATGACTCAGTGATCTGTCTCAGGGATCCTTAGAAGGCAAGTAAGAATTAATTTTGATGAAATGAGGGAAGGATATGTAAATCTCAGTAACATAAGACATTTTCTGGCAGGGAAAAATACGCATCTGCTTTCAGAAATAAACAGCTAAAATGAGGAGTTAAGTGCTTGAAGATGTCCTACACTACTCCAACCAAATATATCCTTGTTCGGTTTACGGCCCTAGGAGTCATATGCACCTTGTTAAATATCCAACTTGATTTCTTTGAAGGGATGTAAATGGGGAAGATTTGTATTAGGCTTATTTGATATTGGTGAATAAATATAATCCACCGAATTTTTGTAAACATTTTTACATAAAAGTATGGTGTACTATCCCAGTTCTCTAACATTGGACCATGTCCTACTAGAGTTTTCTTCTGTTTCTTGAAGACTGAGGATGGATGTGTTCATTCTTTGTGGTGCTCACATGAACTGCCCAAATACCACTTTAAACAATCCTTCATAGTTCTTCATACATCTTTCACAGCTTTAATCAACAGCCAAAAATGGGTAAGTCATCGTATCTTTATTCAGAAAAGTTTTGCACTTTCTCTTATGTTTACATAGGAGAAAAAATAAGAGGACAATCAGAATCAGACACGTAAAAAACGTTGAAAAAAGACTGGAAATGCAGTGCAATGATGCAATACTCATTGTAGAATAATAATAGCAATAATACGACAGTTTTAAAGGCCTTGATCTCTAAAGTCAGTAAGCTATTGTAGAAACTTCAATACTTAGATTGGAAGCAAATGTTGTGTGTACATGGTGAGAATGCCCTTTGTGAATCCAAGGGTTGGGGAAATAGCAGTGCTCTTAATGAAAAGTAAAAAGGGATGGAGGAAGGCCGCTGTCTCTGGAGCAGCACAGGGTGAATTGAAAGGATGGGTTGTCTTGTTCTTTAAAGAAAAGGAATTTTGAAACAATGTTTTACGAAGTTTTAAAATTTATATATCAATAAAATTTGGTTTCCTTTACATATCCTTTGTTTTCTATTTACTCAATACAGGAGACCAAACATTCTACCAGTAAAGTAGGAAAATAATTCAATTTGCAAAACCAAAGACACAAACTTAAGAAAAGTTGAGACTATAATATAGCATAATTAGAGAAGTATAACTTATGGAAGCATACATTTCAGCAACAAACTGAACATCTATTTATCTATTAATTTGAGAAATGTTTATTTTAAACCAGCTGTAGACTATAGTCACCAATGGATTTGCAGCAATATTTAGAGATAAACACTATCCTAAGTTTCAGGAATACACAGAGTAGTAGAGGAGTTCACTGGAGATTGCAGCACAACATGTTAAGTGTGGTGGTTTTGGAAGGATGAGTATAAGGAGCTATGGAGACTCACACAATGAGTATAAAACCTAATGTTGTGGAAGTAATGTTTGGGGTGTCGTACAATGTGCTGCTCCCAATGATAGTTACACTCACATATATTGTATTATTTTATTCCAGAACCAATCACTCTCAAAAAGGTTATTATTACTAATGAGGATAAGAGAAACAAAGTGGCCTTTGATAGCAATGTTGACATGCTTAGGAACAGTAGCATGCCTCAATGTGGTGATAAATTCCTAGTTGAAGATGGGACAACTGTGTGTGTGTGTGTGTGTCTATGTGAGTGCGTGTGTGTCTGTGTGCGGTGGTGGTGGGCAGGGGTGTGGGAGGAAGATGTACCAGAGAAGGAGAGGTCAGCACCATATACGTCAGATGGAAGAATGAGGCTAAGATTAGTGAATCTTATGCCTAGAAGGCCAAAAAGTACTGTACAGCCAGGTGATTTCTACTCCAAATTTCTTTTGATCTCTATGTGATTCTCTTGCTAGAAATTTTATTTTAGACATAGCCTTTTACATAGGACACCATCTTAATCTGAAAGTTTCTAATTCAGTGGTTAGGAAACATATTTTTCTTAGAGCAAAGCCTTATATCACTTTCACTATATGCTGGGCATTTTTCTAAATACTTCGTGTATATTAACTTAGAGCTCACAAAACTCTATGAGACAGAAAGGTATTCAAAGGAAGAAACTGTATTTATGGATGAGGAAACTGAGGCACAGAGGAGGTAGGTGATTTTCAGATGTAGTAAGTGGCCTGGATTCAAATCTAGTAATTCTCACTTTTCCTTATGGAAATATCTGTGGTAATATCTTTTCATTTTGGAATACTACTCAGCCATAAGAAACGATGAAATCCAGCCATTTGTGACAACATGGATGGACATTGAGGGTATTATGCAAAGTGAAATAAGTCAGAGGGAGAAGGTCAAATACCATATGATTTCCTTCATTAAGTAGTAGATAATAACAACAATAGACAAACACAGAGAGACAGACATTGGATTGGTCGTTACCAGAGGGGAAGGGGGGAGGGAGGAGGGCGAAAGGGATAATTCGGCACATGTGTGTGGTGATGGGTTGTAATTAGTATTTGGGTCGTGAACATGATGTAATCTATGCAGAAATAGAAGTATAATGATGTACAACTGAAATTTATAGAATGTTATAAACCAATGTTACTGCAATAAAAAATTTTAAAAAAAGTAGAAAAATTAAAACCCACAAGTTTAACACACATATAAATAAATACATAAACATAGTAAAATCAGCTTTCTTGAATAGTGCCTATCTGTGTCTTCAACTGAGGAAAGTTCTTCTCAGATAATGATAATAATAGTTATTATTTTAAACAGAAAGGGACATCGGTTGTAAAGCAATAGAGGCCATAATGATGACACATAGGTAGGCTGAAGCGTCATGAAACATTGCCAGGGATTCACATGTAATCAACCTCAGGGTTAAGCCCTTCCAGTTTTCATTATTTTCTACCTCTTTCTCCCCTCTTCCCCTGACATCTGAGGTTGCTCATGGCAATGGCTTCAGTGTATCTGATTTCCAGTGAGGTAGCAGCAGGAGTTGGAAAAGCTGAGTGGTAGATGGCTAAGGATAAACCAGTCACTTTTTATTAAAAAATAAAGTATATTTACCATTTTTGAAGAATTTCAACGTAATTAAACATGTAACTAATGAAATAGGAAATTTGTATAAGGATTGGAGCAATAACACAAAGGTGGTTCTTGTTGGTTGGGAATCTTGTGGGCGTGATCTTTGAAAGTTAACAGGTAGTGTTTTATGTAGAATTGCAAGTCTGCTTACAAATCCCGGCCCTATCACTTCAAGCTGTGTGATGCCAATAAAATTTTTGAGCCTGCCTTAGCCCCAGAGTTTTCACCTGCAATAGAGAGGGAGTTTAAGGATCATTGTAAATATCAGGTTGTTTTAAATTTCCCCCGAAGGTGGAAACAGTGTACTACTTAGGTGAAATTCCGGCTCCACACTTGTATGTGTGTTAAGCCATTCTTCAAGTTTGTTCTTTGTGCTTTCTCCCACAGGTCTGGCAGGAGGAAAATCGAACAAGCCACTGAAGAATGAGAAACCAGACAGAAATAACAGGCTTTGTCCTCCTGGGACTGTCAGATGACCCAAAGCTTCAGGTGGTGATCTTTGTCTCTCTGCTCGTCACCTACATGCTCAGCGTCACTGGGAACCTGACCATTATCACTCTCACCCTGCTGGATTCCCACCTCCAGACCCCCATGTATTTCTTCCTCAGAAATTTCTCCTTATTAGAAGTTTCATTCACAACTGTCAGTATACCCAAGTTCCTGGGCACCATTATTTCAGGAGACAAAACCATTTCTTTTAACGATTGTATGGCTCAACTATTTTTTTTCATTCTCTTGGGAGTCACTGAATTTTACCTTCTGGCTGCCAGGTCCTATGACCGCTATATTGCCATCTGCAAACCTCTGCATTACATGACCATCATGAATCGTAGTGTCTGCACACTCCTTGTCTTTGCTTCTTGGCTGGCTTCATTCTTAATCATATTCCCATCACTCATGCTATTCATACAGCTCAATTACTGTAACTCCAATGTTATAGACCATTTTACTTGTGATTATTTCCCCTTAATACACCTTTCTTGTTCAGACACAAAACTCCTAGAGATAGTGGGTTTTTCTTGTGCTGTATTCACTCTAATGTTCACTTTGGTATTAATAATTCTGTCCTACGTATATATCATCAGAACAGTTTTGAGAATTCCTTCTAGTAGTCAGAGGTCAAAGGCATTTTCCACGTGTTGTTCCCACATGATTGTCATCTCCATCTCTTATGGCAGCTGCATTTTCATGTACATTAATCCATCAGCAAAAGACAGAGTGTCTTTGAGCAAGGGAGTTGCTGTGCTAAACACCTCAGTAGCCCCCATGCTGAACCCCTTTATTTACAGCCTGAGGAATCAGCAAGTCAAGCGAGCCTTCATGGACATGGCAAGGAAGACTGTATTTTTCTCAAGCAAATGAAAAAATAAAAGTGTGTCATAAATTAGAGACATAATGCAGGGCAATCAAATGAAAAACAGGGCTTCTCAGAAGTCTATTAATATTCACATAGCCTCTCTAGAGTTAATTTTCATTTCTTATACTTCTATTGCTAGCAGTTTACTAAGGATACGTGAATATAGATATAGATATCTCGCTACATATACCTATACATAGATAACTTTTTTCATTCAAATTCTAATTCTTCTCATATGTATTACATATAAAAAGAAAACATATACACACATATGTATGTATATACATACATGTATACATATATATACACATATACATACACACATATACATACATGTATGTATATATTTTCTTTTTTCCTTCAAATTCCAATCTTCACTCACCAGTGACCTCTTTTGGCCAGTCTCTCCACTCTGTAACTATGAGACTGACCTCAACTCCTTCTACTAAATATTTTTTAATTCCAATTTTTCACAATAATTCTTAGAAAATTAAAGAAAGGCTGAAAGAGACAGAACAAGAGCAAGCAAGAGAGAACTGTGTTTTATGATTTGACCAGTAAACACTCTTTCTAGAAATTCAGGAAATATTAAATCATGTTTAATATTTTTAAATTTACTATATGCACCATAAACTTAATTTGACATTCTTATTAGAATAGTACAGTTAGTATCTTCTCTATACTGTAGCTCATTTAGTAACTATGTGAAAAACAGGATAACTAAAAGAATAATGTATTTATATTTTTTTGAGAAATCAAAAAGTGTTTTTCATTACCCAGTTTAAAATTTCTGTGCCATATAGTTTATCAATTTAAAAAACAATTATGAATACATATTTGCTTAGGGAAAATTGTCAAATAGCGCCCTACATTTTGGAACCCTGTAATTGCCGTATACACTATACCAATTCTTAATAAAAGCCTGAAGAAATAAGTATTACTATATACCAGATATGACTACATTTGCTCTGTCTCAGTGGTATATTTAAATAAATGCTTGAATTTAAGCTACTTTTTTTTGATAATCAATAGCTAAGGGTTTTATAACTATCTCCTATTTGTGGTTATTTTGATATAATAGCTTACACATACAATTCATTTAATTACTTAAGTGACAAGCCATATAAACAGGAATAAACAAGCTAACAATGGCAGTCTTAGTGTATATAAAGTTGAGAATTTTTTTTGTGTGAAAAAAATCTTTTATATTAACTCTAATTTATGTATTAGAGTATGGCACTGCATTGGAAAATTTACTGATTAGAATTTACACAACGATCATACAAGATCATACAACTCTGACCCTGGAAATTTTTTCTGTTTTCCATGAAGTCAAAAGTTGAAATAAGAAGGAAGGATACTCAAAGATATCCTAAATTTTTATTAACCAATAATAAAAGAGAAAGAAAAGAGAAGAAAGACTATAATTATAATCAATTGAGCCAAGTTCTTCATGATATTCATGCACTATACTCAATTGAGAGACTCAGCTCTATGATTTGCTGAACAAAAACAAAAAAAGTTGTCATAATTAAATGCCGAGGAGGTCAGCTATTGCTGTGAGGTCGTGGAGTTAGTTTCCTTCCTTCATACTGAAACCATAATTTCTAAGCTAAATTGGAAAAATTTGAAAATATTGAAGTTTAGACTTAATTGATAATTGTTGGTTCTTAATCACTCAATAAATATATACCATAAAGATCAGATAGTTGTAGATCTTGGAATTAAAAGAATTGTAAAGTTATTACAAAAGATATGAGGAAGTTTATGCTGGTATCATTGGATGATTCAGCTCTCTCTATAACTCTACACCAACTCCTTAGTGGTTATTACAAATGTTTGGAATCTGTATGAGCATTTTGATTATCAACATCAGAGGTCAACAAACTTTTCATGTAAAGAGAAATATATTAATAATTTTGATTTTACAGGCCATAGAGTCCTTGACGCAACTACTCAACTCTCCCATTGTTGTACGAAAACAGCTATAAACGAATGGGCTTGGGTGTGCTCCAATAGAGCTTTTTAAAAAAATAGATGATGGGCCAAATTTGGCCCATGAAGCACAGTTTGTCCACCCTGCCTTAGATTTTCCCATGAACACTGGCCCACAATTTAGTTCACATAGAATATAAGATAATTTAACTAAAGCGTGAAAATTCAGCAATAGGTGTAAGATTTTAAAATTTAACTTCAATTTTTATTTTTCATTATGAATGTGAATGAGAATAATCTTATAAAACATTTCCAAAGGAAAAGAAGAGGTAAACATTTCTAACTCATTTCGTGGACTTTGATATCATTCTTGATATCAAAAGATAATAGGAGAAATGAAAAATCACCAACAATTTGACTCATAAAATAGAAGATAAAATATTAAAAGAAATCAGAAAACCTACTACTTCATATTACAAATCGTTTAATTCCAAAGGTAATTTATCTTTAGAAAATCTGTTTGTGGAGTTTACTACCTTAACAGATTAAAGAAGAAAAAAAGTAAAACAAAAAGAAAAACATACTCTGTGATAAAATGCAGTGGCCATTAATGATTTAAAAAAATCTTTTAGTAAAATAGATGAGAATGTTATTAACTTGATAAAGGTTATCTACCAATCAGTAGCATAAAAGACCTGAATAGGCAATCACAACCAGATGTGCTGTATGCTCCTTGTTCAGCTCTAATTTAAATAAGTCAACTATAAAATGATATTTTGGGGACAACTGGGGTCATATGAGTATGGACAAGGTGTTAAATGATAACCAAAGATTTTTTGTTAATTTTGCTAGCTGTGGAAATCGCATTGTGGTTAAGCAAGAAAACAAACATATATTTTAGAAAGTAAATAGGAGTGAAGAGGTATGATGTGTAGGTTTTGGTTTAAAATACATCATCAAAAGAAAAAAACTGAAAAAGACTGGTAAAGCAAATATGAAAAAATCTTCATATTTATTGAATCTGCTTGATCTGTACGTGGGATTTATTTTTCCAGTTCTCTATCCTAGTGTATATTTGAAAATATTCATAATAAAAAAATTACAGCAAACATCATGCTTAATTTTTGAAAGTATAGCAACATCATTGGTAAAATCAGTTACAAGACGAAAATGCCCACTACCGCTCCTTTTACTTAATACTCTACTGGAAGTTCTATCCAGGGCACTAGCACAAAAAACAAATATATTTAAAAGTATTGGGAAGGAAGAAACAAATCTGTATTTGCAAATAACATGGTTTTCCTTCTAAGGCCTTAGTACATTTACACTAAACGTTTCTTAAACCTGAAATTCTCCTCTCCCAGACTAACACACTTACCTCCTTCAGGTCTCTGTCCAAATGTCTCCTCAATAAAGCCTACCCTAATGACATGATTTAAAATTATACTGGCTCCCTACTTCCAAGTTTTTTTAAATTTTCTCTTCCTTTACAAAATACTCATTAACTTATAAGATACTGTATAATTTACTTATTAATTAAGTTCATTGTTTATTGTCTATATTCTCTCACATCCCTCACCCCTTGAAAACAGGGTTCTTTGTCTACGTTGTAGACAAAATGATGTGATCCCAGCAGTGGTGTTCGGAGCCTGCCTATACCACTTCCCAAGAGCCAACTGTGCATGTCTCTTCTCAATTCCGGTTTCAGTAAGGTCGTGTGGGTAGCTTGAAATGCCATGGTGGGAGACTTCACATCATAGAAATTGACAAACTCTACAAATCTGCCCCTCCCCTCCACTCCCTGAGAGGCAGTTGTTAAACACTTACCAGAAGTCACTAATCCTCCTCATTTAGATCATGCATCTGCCATGTAGTGGGTATTCAATAAATATTTTTGAATAAATAAGTTTAAATAATTTAGAATGGTTCCAGTGTCACAGCAATCAGAAGCATTAATTAAATATTTTATCCAACAGAAACACATACAATTTATATAATAATGGACATAACATTGACTTAGCTTTAAAACAATGTGCAAATAAAATGTGTATTTCATCGTAGCTAGAAATAATTAACCGAATATTTTCTAAGGTATTTGTTTAGTGTTCCTTCTTCTTTTATTTTACATTAGGCCATTTGACAACTGTTTTTTATTTTATACGTATTGACTTTTCATGAAGTCAGTAATAACTCTTCTTATTAAGGTTTGCACTTTGAGCTTTCTAATGGTAGGAATTTCCAAATATGTAAACCCATATTCATTTCATAAGAATATTCTTTTAACTATTTGTGTTACACCTGGTAACATATGAGATCCAACATCACCTGTCAATAAAATACACTTCTGAGATTATAAACTCAATTTACAGAATAATAACTCAGTTAAATGATGGTCCTCAGTAAATGATAGGCCAATCAGAATCTTGCTGGGGAGCTTACTTATAAAGGCTGATTATATATCACTGGAATTAATTTAGTAACATGCACTGGAATTATTCAGTAACATGATGTCAAAACAGATTTTCAAAGAAGGTGTTAAAATATTTAGATTCTTTAGTCACTTTCATTTAATAAATTTTATTTTTGGATTTTAAACATGTTACAGCAAAATACTATTTGTAATTGAAGTTCTTCTGCTCTTTAAGGAGAGTGAGTCCTGGTAGCTGAACTATCTATGTTTCTTTGGCTTAAAACATAGTCACTCATCAACCTTAGAATACCTTGGAGATAATTTGATACATTATTAAAAAGCAGATGTCCTACTAGATTGTGGATAGGAGAGGAATAGAGATAAATCAGTTTCAAAAAAGTGAATTGTTAGAATGCCTGGAGAAAAGCTAAAAAGCTATTAGGAACTAGAAACATAAAATAGAAGTAGAAAGTAAGAGTGAGAGAGAGATCAAAGAAGAAAGAGCATCAGACAATTCAGTATCTAGGAGTTTGAGAAAAGACATTATGAAGAAGAAACATGTCATAGGATTTTTCGAATGAAATGCAGTTCTTCGTGAGATAGAAACTCACCCCGTTTCCTCTAAGAAAATGAATAAAGACGCATTGCTCACAACAACACGTGGTGGAGGCAAGATACTTAACTA